AATGGGAGCTTCCAAAATAAGGAAAAAAAACAAAAAAATCTAAATTGAGGATCCACGGAGGTCCACTGACCTTTTATATTTTGAGGTACTTGATATAATACTAGACTAGTCCCACTGGTATTAGTTTTGATCGGCAGGTCACGCAATTATTCGATATAAGAATTATTTTTCTTAATATAAACATAATTGTACGAATTTGTTTGACAGATTATACATATATATATATATATAGACATCATAAATTCCATTTTTGCACTTTTATTCCTGCTGTTAAACATCATTAAATGCATGGGTTTTATGCTAATAAATTATTTGGACAAGTTATTTGCATCTTAAATTCCCATTATTTGCACTTATATTCATATTGTTTATTAGTGTTATTTGATAAAATTGGAAATTAAGTATTAGAATTTTTAAAAACTGAATTTTAAATGTTGATTTTTTTTTTTTTCCTTCCTAGTTGGTAATTACACACACGTCTTTTCTGAGATTTCAATCCCTGACCCCCTTTGAGAGGTAAGAGGCTGATACCGCTAGACCATTGGCCCGCTGATAATGTTGAAAACTTTAAGTTGTAGTTAAAAAATAAATATTTTTTTTTATATCTTTTTGAATTTTTAGCATTGAGTGACAAGTGATATCCATGTATTTGAAATTTTACTCCATTCTAAATGACGCTTATTGTCTATATTCAAATTATGTTATCAAACACACTTAATTGAATAAGCGCCTAATTCGTTCAGAATTAAGCACTGAATTGAGTTATCAAACAACACTACCCATATTTTTAAATCCATACCTTCAATTAAACCGGGGCCATTTGAGTTTAAGAATTAAAATTTTTCATACAAATTTTTGATAGGTAAGTTGAAAATTGCTATGATACAGGATTATAAAAAATAAAATAAAAAAATTAATAAATTAAAATAGGATGAGGGGTTAAGATTTTGGAGTGTAGGGTTGAAAAATGCTAAATTTGATAAATTTGGGTGAGGAGAATTTAAATATTTTTTATTGCAAACCTACCAAAAACAATAGATTTCTACTTTAATTTTTGGGTAAATTGCATTGACACCTCTTGAGATTTCAGTCAATGTCACTTAGATGCTTTTAACAATGACACACATATGGTTTCAAATGTCACATTTGTCCCTGATTATTTAATTCAATTAATTTACAAAATATCAACCTTTTTAATTGACAAAACTGCCTTCATCATTAAATCTCTTTCTCTGCCCTAATCTTTAATTTTTATTTTTTTATTTTTTTTTAATCTTTTCATTTTAGCACATAGCCGCCGACATTCCCTCTCTCTTCCCGATCTCTCTCATTCTGCTCTTTCTTACTTTTTTTTGGGGGGGGAGGTAAATTACACCCCTCGTTATTCTTCTCACCAGTGGCGGTGGAGGCCGATAAAGAAATGTAATTGGCGGTGGAGGAGATGGCGACTAAAGCAAGTTAATTGCCATAATTTGGGAGGAAAATGTTGCGATGTGGTGGTTATGGTAGTGTTGGATTTGTGATTGAGACGAGTATGGGTAGGAAAGTGGGTGTGAGAAGACAGAAGAGAATTGGTGGGAATGGTGAGATAAAAACAGCTATCGCTCTTTTTAACTTTTTTTTTCGTTCTATTGTGGTGGTGCCTGGTGGTGGTGTCTGAGTTGGACATTACTATTTTTTTTTTTTTTTCTTCCCGTTGTGGTTGGTCTGGGCTAGTCGTGGTTATTATTATTTTTTTTTTCCTACTCTAGTAGTGGTTGTTGTGGTGTCTAGATCAATTATCAGGGGTGTTTCAAAATTTTTATTTTTATTTTTTCTATTGTGGTGGTGGTAGTTCTGGTAACGTCTGGTGTGTTGGTGGTGTTGTCTTGGTATAATGGCAATGGTAGTGTTGTCATGGCGTGGTGGTGGTTCTGGTGACGCTTGAGACGTATAAGTATGGGTTGACCACGACTATTTTTAATAATTTTTTTACTGTGGTGGTGGTGGTTGCATGTGGTAATGTTTGGGTGTGGTTATGGTAGTGTATAGTGGGCTATTTCAAACAAATTTATTTTTTATTTTTATTTTTATGTTGTGTTGGTGGTGATGGTGGCTTCTTGGTGTGGTGGTGCTTATGGTGGTATAATTATTGTTATATATAAACTATATTTATATGTATATAAGAGATGAAGAGGTTAGTTTGGTCCATTAAAATTAGTTAGGAGGTTAAATTTGTAATTTTATGATTTAAATGTAGTTGTTGATGAGTCAAAAGGTTAAAAGGTAATTTCATATGATTTCAAAGGTCTGGAGGGAGTGTTAATGTATATTTTTGAAATCTCGGAAGGTGTTAATGTAAAAAAAGATATTGACCGTGGTGTTAATCAAAATTTCAGAGGGTATCATTGCAATTTACCTTAGTTTTTTAAACCTCACAAATATATATATATATATATATATATATATAAGGAATAATAATACTATTGAGGAAAGCTTGTGCGGATTAGTTACTCAAAAAGATCCCTCATTTCACAATAAATGCACAACTTTTGCTGTTAAAAAGAAGGAAGCCTTCGAGTTTTCCCAAATTTACCATTGATACCATCAACCATACAAATGAGTGTTGGATTTTTATTTTATTTTTTGTTTGCACATGAACTTTGTTGATTGGATTTAATTACTTTCAAAATTTATAAAATATAATGATAGTTTATAAATCTTATAAAAATTACAAATTTATAAAATAATGATTGTCTCTAGTAAAACTTTTAAACTCCACACTTTTGACACATATATTTTTATTTTTTCAAAAAATATTTATTATAGATGTCTCATAATATAAGCTTTTGCTTCAATTATAATTTGTATCAAGCCATATCGTTTGATATTGGTAAATCTCATTAGCTAATTCTTTAGTAGTTCATATTCTTCATTTTTATTTTATTATTTAACTACCAATTTTCAAAAATTAATCACAATATATAATTTTAAAGTACTTAAATTTTGAAAAGCTATTGTGATATAATCGTGTCATCTCCCCATTTTTTTAAAAAAAAAAAAATTAATTTTTTTATTATTATAATTGTCTTATTTATAAGTTTTTGCTTAAATTATAACTTGTATCCTGCCATTTCATTTTATATTGGTAGAAAAAATTTCAAAGATATTGATAGATCTCATTAGTACGTTAATCCTTTATTTTCCTTTTCCTTCATGTTTTAGTTTATTATTTAATTATTATTTTCTTTTAGAAAATTTTATTATTTGTAATCTTTTTAAAATTTAAAATTTTATTTTATTAATTTTGAAAGTATTAAATCCAATTAATTAACAAAGTTGAAGTGCAAACTTAACATTCCTTTGTAAGATTGATTGTATCAATGGTAAATTTGGAGAAACTCAAAGAGTCAAAGGCTCTCTCTTATAGAGGAAAAAAAAAAAAAAACATTCCTTGTAGGAAGAGAGAGATTCATGGTGAATAACCAATTCCGGCCGTGTTAAAAAAATGAATGGTTCAGTCGGTAGCAACCCTTTAGCAAGAGTATCATTACTCTAAAATAAAAAATAAAATGATGGTTTGAAGATATTTTTGGTGAAATGCAAATTATCAAAACACATTAAATTCGACCTAATCTGGCACAAAAAGAGTAAGTCTTGATAAAATTCTGTTTAATTAATGTTTTTCTTTGTCAATATTTTCCTCGTTGAGACTCATTGTTGTCTTTGTCATTAAATAAATATATGCTCGATCATTACCAATGACCTTAATTTTTTTACCACGCAGTCTGAATTTTTTGATGTAGTTATGGTAGATGGCTCGAATCACTTGCACTTATGAATGAACCAGACCGTCAGATTATTACATTACGCATGCTGTAACAGCTGAGGATTCAACCGTCCATGAACCCGTGAGAGAGATAGTGGATACATGTATACCTATTTTGGAGTAAAAAGACAACTTACTCTACTAGGTAAAGGAACAGAAAGAAATGAAGAATGTGACGTTACAGTACTGCACTGTCATTTAAAATGGCAACAATTACCAGCTCACTGTGCTGTGCTGAGTACTCCACTCCAGATTGACATAAGATACTGAGTCATGAACTCGGAATAGATTCTCCGAACTCTCACCCACCACCATCTGTGTAGGGAATTTCTAGATAAACGAGTTAGAGAGAGAAAACATCTATCTATACATGTATACATATATAGAGAGAGGGAGAAAATAATATAATATGTGTGTGTATATATGTGTCTCGTGAGGTGCATGGTTGCGACATATCAAGCGGTACCAGTCATCTCTTGTCTTCGTTAAATTTGTATTCTATCAAATTTCATCGCACTGCAAAACACACATAGATAGTCAGATCAGTCTGATGAGATGAGTCCCACCACACTCACCTAATCCCCAGTCAGGACTTCACGGACCGAGTCCGTATACCTTTCTCTTTCTATGTCCCTCTCTCACTCTTTCTCTCTCTACATGCACGCTCCAAATATATATATCTATATAATTATATAATTATAGCACAATCATTTTTACCTGATGAATGGCTGTAAAGGCCATGCACTTTTATCTCTCTCACCCTTTTTTGATTAGATTTAGATCCTATCTTTCAACTTTTCATTTTCACTGTTTTTAATTATTTGACTTTTCTTAAATTAATTTATTCATATATATATAAATTATATATATACACCATGCATATGACTTCACAGTTTACGGTAAAATTGTTTTACTGTGACTTCTAATTGGAGGTTACGGATTTAAAATCGGAAATAACCTTTTCACGCGGAGAGAATGTTGCATTAACCACGGATTACTCACCCACTGCATTCTGAGCATATAGCAGCTTAATTATGGTAAGTTACAGTTTTACTATTAATTAGAGAGAGAAAGAATAGATATACATACATATTACATAGCTAGCCAGCAAGAGAGAGAGAGAGTGGTCCACCTGAGTCTTATGGCTGGCAGACTTTTTGAGAGAAGCCGTGTAAGATAAGGAGTAGAATATCTACATGACTTACAAACAGATGAGCATAGGAAGAGAGAGAGAGAGAGAGAGAGAGAGAGAGAAAGAGAGAGAGAGAGAGAGAGAGGAAATATTCTTTTGTAGTTTCTTGGTGTTTTCCTTCAAGATTCAAACAAAGCAGGAAGAAGGGTGAGATTTTAGGGACTTGGAAACAAGCTTTAATTTCTGGGGTTTCTTTGTTTTCTGGGGAAGTGTAGGGTAATCTAGGAGTTTTGTATGTTATCATCCATTTAAGCTTTTGTTTTTTACTTTGTTTTGGTTGGTACTGTCTCGTCTTCTCAGTTTTTATTCTTTTGGTTGAGCTAAGCTAGCTAGTTCAGGACACACACACACAAACACACCGGCCAAGTTACTTCCAATTCAATCACTTTCTTAATGATGTCTGATGATGGCCTTTCTTCAATCCCCTCCACAATCAGAGGGTTCATTCAGCAACCCAATCCAAACCCTAACCCTAACCCTAACCCTAATCCAATAAAGAGGAAGAGAAACCTACCAGGAACACCAGGCAAGTATACTTCATACCATTTTAATTTTAAGTTTTCACTATTATTTACATTTTTTAGTAATGGGTTTTTTTGTTTTGAACAGATCCAGATGCAGAAGTGATAGCTCTTTCACCAAAGTCTCTCATGGCGACGAATCGATTCCTGTGCGAAATTTGCAACAAGGGTTTCCAGAGAGACCAGAACTTGCAGCTACATCGACGAGGTCACAATCTGCCATGGAAGCTGAAGCAAAGAACCAACAAAGAGGTGAGAAAGAAGGTGTACATCTGCCCGGAGAAGAGCTGCGTGCACCACGACCCTTCCAGAGCCCTCGGTGACCTCACCGGAATAAAGAAGCATTTCAGCAGAAAACACGGTGAGAAGAAGTGGAAGTGCGAGAAATGTTCGAAACTCTATGCAGTTCAGTCAGACTGGAAGGCCCATAGCAAGATTTGTGGGACTAGAGAGTACAAATGTGAATGTGGAACAATCTTCTCCAGGTTCGATCTCTGTACCTTAAACCTTAAACACTATCCATATATCTCTCAATTTTGGTCTGTTTTGTTTGACATTCTTTGGTTTATATGATTAGTTTGTTGAAGGAATATATACCCATGTATAAGCTTCAAGTGTTTGCATTTGAATTTAATGCTATTGCAATAAAAGTAAAATTAATGGTAGGAAAAAAAAAATTACAGTATATATAAGTAATAGAGGCCCACTATATATAGAGGAGTATAGTAGAACACATTTATCGGATGAATTCATGTAGGATACACATGATGTCACATTTCCAATTTTGTCTTAATCACCTAAAAATGTCTCATAAAATATCATTTTTCTTTCACATTACTCAATGTAGATTTCACATGTGATTTCATCTTATCAATATCTACCGGATGGTATTCGAATTTTTTTTTTTAATATATATATATATATATATATATATATATATATGTGGGGTATAATTTTTCATTTTTCAGAATCATTTTCTCATTTTTAAATTAATATAGTTGAGTTGGGATTACTGTAAATCAAACAGGAAGGATAGCTTCATCACCCACAGGGCCTTTTGTGATGCTTTAGCTGAAGAAAATGCAAGGTTCACTTCATTTCCAACAAGCTTGAACTTCAGAAATGATCACTTGATTAGTGGGAGTACAATTAGTACTAACACTGATCCTCAAGCTGCAGCAAGAAATCCCCAATTTTCAGCAGTGTTTGGGCAGCAGAATGTGGATGGGCACAAGCCTAGGTTACCACTGTGGTTGGACCACACCAATTCTCATCTCGACAATATTGGGATGGCAAGTAATCCGAATAATTACCAAACATCTAGTTTGCCTGAATTGGTGCAAATGGCAACTACAAACATGTTTGGATTATCGTCACAACGGCTAAATAGAGGCCAAGAAGTAGCATCATACAACAATGCCAACAATCTCTCCTTATCGGCGTTGTCTGGGGGTTTGAAACTGGAAGAAGAGGACAGAAGTAATTTTTCAGAGACCATGGATACGTTGTATTACAATAACCAGAATCAGCAAGAAGCCCTGGCTCACATGTCCGCGACTGCATTGTTACAGAAAGCATCCCAAATTGGATGTACAAGGAGCAATTCAGCACTCTTGGGCACCAAGTTTGGTCTCATGAGCTCGTCTCTCTCGAGCCAGCCCGAGAACTTGAATGAATTAATGAATTCTATGTCTGCTTCAATACCAGACGCTAGTATTAATGAAAATGGGCTTGTGTTGGGTGATCACATGAAGTACTCAACATCATTAGTGGGTGACAATGCGAGGAATTTGGACCATATGGTGATGATGATGAGAAGCAATGGACAGCGAATCGAACCGAGTCGTGATGAAGCTGAAACAAGCATGACCAGAGATTTTCTTGGCGTGGGAGGTGGTGGCGGTCAACCAGGAAGGCCCTTGTTGCAGCAAGAGTTAGCCAAGTTTGCGTCGATGGGTTCCACCATGGACTTAAGCCAATACTACAATGGAAATTAATCAATGATATTTTTTTTAGTTGATACTCATACACATGCTTCCATCGAAACTCGAACTCCTTACTTCTCCTTGAAAAGTAGAAGCTCGGTACCACTAGGTCAGTGACCTGTTGGTAAAATTAATAAATGATATTCTCGGAGATGGTTTAGAGTTTTAGTTTGTTAATCCCTTGAACATTAGCTTATAATAGATGGTTCAATGGGAGGAGAGGAGAGCTGCATGTTGTAAGAGACATAGTAAAAAGCGACTTGGTACGCGTTCCTTTAGTAATATGCATCCATTATGTCCGTGTTAAGGTACTCTCTTTTGCTTATCCTATATTTTCAGGTTAAGAATAATTAAGGAAAATTATTTTTAGTCCGATCAATTAAAATAATTTGTTCGACCAATCACTTTTAATTATGTGAAACACAATAGTACCACCCCGGCAGCTGGATTAAAAATTTGAGGAAAGAAAAGAGTTGACTGATAACCGTACTGTAACAGGACCACTGCATGTGACAAATTTCTGAAGCTAAAAGGCATGAGCTCATTGGATTTTGAATAAGGTATGGTGTGATGTGGACTTCAACCTCTGCCAGTCTTCTTCTTCTTTTATTTAATTTTTTTTCTTTTATTATTATTAATATTATTATTTTCCCTCTCCAAGTCTTAATCACAGACATGCTGTAACGCATCGTTACAATGTGTGGCAAGGAGCTTGTACTGATCATTTATATTCACAGGTGTTGTGCACGAATTCGCACATGCACGATGCCCATGACTGTGATGTGCTCGGTGTATCAAGCACATAAAATATCTTTTGGAGACAAGAATGATGTGTTGTATTAGATCAACTCTTTGCTTTCATTGCACTGATTGGATTCCAAAAGTATATTAAGTTCAAAAAAATACTATCAAGAGCACTCTAAACGTATGTGGTCCTTTACGATATTATTCTCTAAGTTTATAGGAATGCGGTGCGTTGTACTGGATTGGGTAGCTTACAAATTTGTGAAATATTTGAGGCAGTGGGATCCGAAATATATTATAATTACAGGCTACTCTTATCTGAACTTGATTCATTAATGGAAGGTGCACCGTTACAGCCTTGAGTGAAAATATTCCACTGAGTTTTTTTTCCATTACTGCTCCTGATAAGGTTTTGTTTTGGGGGGATAAGGTCCTGTATAGACTGTATCCTTTCTTTTGCTGAATAAAGTCTCATTTTCCGATATATATACATATACACACACACAAAAACACATACTGTTTGCGTCAGTAAATCTGTCAATCAAATTTGATTCTCGGATTTACATGACTGCAGTCAATCAACCTATGATTCTTGTCATTTGTGTGGGAGTTGGGATGCAAGAAATATTTAATTTTGGCATAGTTGTCGGATTATCCGACTCTAGAACCGCAATTTTTATCATTTTAACTACTACTACTCTTGTGGTTTTATTTTCGGTACATCACTCTTGTGGTTCTCCTTACAATAATGTGTCTTGGTCCTTCTTACAATGATGTGTTTATCTTTCCAGGAAAATAAAGAAACTCTTGTGGTTGGTAAAATAGTCAAAATTCTTTCACATATATTATTTTTCATCATAAAGTAATTGTTAAGTCACACAATTCTTTTCAACAACTGCTCTCATGTTTCGAGCATTCTCGCTTTCACGTGTTTAACTCTCACACTAGGTACGCGTTCTTGCCCCAAATCTCACTCTTTGTAATTTAATTTTATTAATTTTGAGCTCCTACTGTCAAATTCGTTCTTACTCCCGTTTTATGTGACTTAGAGAACTAAGGCCTATTATTTCCAAAAAATAAAATTTATTTATATATTTACATTTTGATTTCATGATTCGTCAAATAATTTTTGACAAACTCAATGTTATAAATATGTCCACGACTTCAATCCAATACTTTGCATGTAATTCATAGACATAACCACAAGAAGCTATAAATATTTTGATTCAAGATTGGCGTTTTCTCTTCAATTTAATATTTTTCAATGATAGGTTTTGATTTTGTGAGCTTAGAACTTCCTATCAATCAAGAACTCTCAGAGAATAATAGTCTAATAGCAAAGCTTTCACCTCAGACGTTAAATATTGAGAGGTCGGATCCCTTAAATATTTCGCATTAATTAATAACCAAATTTGGGTGCGAATATCATGTAAGATTCTCATAAATATATTTATTAATCATTTTTTATTTTGAATAAATTTGAAAATTAAAAAATTATACAAATACTCTGCTTAGGTCAATTTTCAGAAAAACTCAATTATAAAAAGACATATTTTCTTATATTTCTGATCTAAAAATAGTTTTCTATTTTTTGAATTCTTTACAACTATTTTTAGTATTACAAGCCAAGTAAAATCGGCCTTACTCTTTCTAATCAGTGTATATTTCCTCAAAAATGTCATTCATAAATTTCTAAATGTTGAGCCCTATGATTTAGAACATCAGGAATCTCATAAAAATTCATTGAATTTCACTGATGCATAGCATTCTTGGCAGTTGGCAGAATACTAAAAAATCTCAAATTACACGAAGCTGGAATATAAAACAATCATATTAATAAATGGAAAAGAAAAAACATAATGGGCCTTGAAATTCAATCTTGACATTACTTGGCCCAAATTTACTCAAAATGCTCTTCCAGATATATATATATATATATAACCGACACTTGTACTCGGTCAAATTATTCAAAGCCCACTTTTGTTATCAATCACCACCGTCCAATCTGACTCAACAAAATCAGATAGACACCAGACCCCACTAGATAGTGCAATCTCCACCCTCTATTTTCTCCCACTAAAAAAACACAGCAACTCCAACTCCAATAGACACCAACATTCCATGCATGGTGAGACCGACTGCACCAGAGTCAGCCGCCGGTGAATCATCGTCCGATCCCGGAGTGTTACCGGCCGATGACTCCTTATTCTTTGAAGCTCCAGGTGCCAATGCCGGTGCCGGAGCTGTAGCCGCAGTAGCAAATATGCTCATGGGAAGAAGCACCTTGTCCACCTGATAAACAGCAAGCTGCATGTTGTCTGTAAAGACTCTTTTGCCCAGAGTGGCATTCACAATGCCGGTAGACACGTTGACTTGGGTGCCGGAGCTCGTCACGTTAAGCGGGAACTCACTGAAGCTACTGTTTCCAGCTTCTGTCCTCATTGGGTTGCTCGCAGTTTGGAATTCCAATGTAGTGTTGAAAAATGAAGGTATGATATGAAACTGCACCAACTGGACTTGCTGTTGATCAGTCAGGGAATTTATGGTACCGGATTTTAGGCTAGAAAACGCGTTATCGGTGGGTGCAAGGATAGTTAGGCCTTGGTCTGACTTCCTAATCTGGTTATTGATTCGATCACCCAATTGGGTAGTTTTTAGAAGCCTGATCAGGATGGAAAACCGCCCCGCTTTTTCGAGTACTTTGGTGATATTGGTAGGACCAGGTGGTGTGGGGGGCAAAGCCGGGGAGGCCGGAAGCTGAGCTAGGGTTGTGGTGGAGTGGAAGTAGAGGAGGAGCACGAGAGAGAGAGTGAAGAGAAGGTGGTTATTCATTTTGGTTAATTTCTAGTATTTTTAAAATTTGAGTATGGTGGTGGTGGAAATTGGGGTGTTTGGAAAGAGAGAAAATGGAGGGGCTTGTGAAGTGTGTGTGTGTGTGTGTGTGTGTGTGTGTGTATGTTGTGTTTGAGGGGAGTGAGAGAGGAGTTTTATGGAGGTGAAAATGATGTTAGCCTTGTTAGGTCATGAGTAGTCATTTTACTTAGAAATTCAATTAGCATCTAATTTCAAATGAAGGTTGGTGCAAAGGTTTGGTTTTTTGTAATGAGAACTAATTAGCATCTTTTCTTTTTGATTTATTTGAGAGAGACTTATTAAAAATAGAATCAATTAGAAAGAATGAGAGAGATTTATAACTAATAGTTTTGCTTTGGAAGGAAGGAAAATCAGAAGAGATCTTATTGAAGTGGTTGTGAGTACGTAAATTAAAGCAATGAAATTTCTGTACGTAATTGCTTTTTGCTTTTGTCTTTGAGTTAAAATTGGGTAAAGCTAACTTCTTAAGCAGTTTCCATAAGCAAATACTTTAATAGGTTATTAGCAGTTTCCATTGTAAATTAATAGGTATAGTTTTCACTTTGCGCCTGTGGAGATAGCTTAACTTCCAAATGAAGGAAGAAAAAAAAAAAAAATTTGTGTACAATAATGTAAATGCAAAATGGCCAAAAGCCTAAAAGAAAGGTAGAGAAAGGGCCAAAAGCCCAATATAACAAATTAAAAGAAAGATAGAACACAATAATATCATCATGTGATCACCCTTTGAATGGAATAGATATCGGTTGTGTCGGTTGCACAATGAGTTATATGTGTACAATATATGCATATACGTGTATAACACATACGACTCAAATAAGTCCGATGCACTGTCCTTTGAATAAACGTTTTTATAACTTCGACTCAAATGAGCGAGATGCACTCTCCTTTAAATGAACATTTTTGCAAGTTGCTACCCTTCTCTCTTGGATGGATTAAAGTCTAAATCATCATCAGATGCCCAAACCATCCTAATACATGTAATGAAGTAATTTGTTTTGCTCAATGCGTATTTTTGTTTTTTTAGGGGAGGAATGTGGGAGGAAAGGAAGGGCTGCAAAGCTCGGATTCAATGCTAAGAAACCATAAAAGATAATGACAGATTAATTTTAGTGGCCAAATTTTGGAGCCCTTATTAATATACATATAATTGATTAAAACACAAAGCTAAAGACCCAAAACAATTTGTCTTAAAAATACACTTAGAAACAATATTTATTTGTTTTTTGGTGGACAAGTATTAAAATTCAGATAGTCCTTGAACCGTATCAAACCCTGATTGTCTCTTGAACCTGCAAACGTTGCAGAGTGTTGAATAGAGTGATTGAGTTTGGTACTTGTCCTCCCCACCCATCATCGGCATCGGCACGCCGACTTTGACAGGGCTAACATAGCCAGGCCTGTAAGTCTTCCCCAGAACTCCCTCCACAAGATCAGACAGATTTGAGAACTTAAACTGTGTCTCCAAGTGAGCAAAAGCATCATCGCTTGGCAACTGATAGTTGTGAACCCTATTCTCTTCTGCTCCTATTGGCCTCACCTTCACATACATTTCCACCAAACCACTCACTGTCACCCTCACACTGTTGGCATCTTCAGTTCTCTCCACAACCACCTCTCTCTCTCCACTGTTAAGCCTCCATTCAGCCTCTCCTTCGGTGGGTATGGTGATGGCCTCGCCGTCCCACTTCACGATGAGAGCATCGACATTGTTGTCCCAATGAGAGACTCTGTTGGCTGCAAGGACTAGGGTGTGTGTTTCAAACATGACTGAGAGGGCTTGCACCCATGTGTAGTCTCTAGTCCTTCCGTTTGGCCGGGTTCCGATGAAGTGGGCGTTGATCTGAAGGTTGTCATCTGAGACAATGGCAAAGTCAGCTCCCTTTGCTCCATGGAAGTAGAACATTACACCGTCACCGCCAACAAACCGAGGATCGTAACATAGAGATCCATAGCCATTACAGTTGGGTTTTCTCCCTGTAAAATAAATTACATACATCCACTTAGAAGTTGGAGTTGGGAATAGAGAGAACATCTAGATAATATATTATACCTGTTTTTCAGAAAATAATTTTCAAGAATTCAGTAAAAATCTGTTTTCAAATAATTATAAAAGACAGTTTTATGAAAATAGTCGGATTTTTTAACTGAGTATTCATAATTTTGATGTTTGGTTCAATTTTTGGACAACCTTTTTTTATTCTAAAAATTGAAAAATAGAAAACTATTCAAAAATATGTTGGTTGATGGTTTCTGATTAGTGCTTTCTAAAACTCTTCTGTTCTCAGAAAATTGTCTTTTCATTATAATTCTATTATAAGGGGTTTTTAAATGACAAATCAAGCAGACAACAGTTTTCTAAATCTTAGTTCTTAAAAAATAGGAAATTGTTCTCCAAAGCAAACATGAATTTAAAGTTCTTAAAAATTGTTTGGAGATAAATAAACATGACATCTTTCACTTGCAGTGGGATTATATATATATATATATATGGTGTCTTCTAGAAGATCATTTGTTGTTTAGAAAAATAGTAGTGGGTTAGCATATGGACTTACACTTGCAGGTGGTTTCACATCTGCTACTACAATCAACGAAACATCCCTTCTTTTTCTTGTTCTTCTTGGGCTTCCTTTGGGGGCATTCAGCCGGACAAGTGAGAGTCTTCTCACATACCCCTTTGTTTTTGCAGGGAGCTTCTTCCTGTTTGACAGCGCCGCCATTGCTGCCGTTACCATTGTTGTTGCCGTTGTTGTTTCCGTTGTTGTTGTTGCCATTATTGTTGCCTCCATTGTTGTTGTTGTTTCCGTTGGGGTTGTTGTTGTTGCCATTGTTGTTTCCATGGTTGTTGTTGCCATTGTTGTTGCCACCGTTGTTGTTGCCATTGTTGTTGCCGTTGTTGTTGTTGCCATTGTTGTTGCCTTGGCCTCGAACAATGGCAACTTCCATGGAGATGAATATAAGAAGGAAAGCCAGCACAATGCATGACTTTCTGATCCTCTCCATCTCTATGCAACTCTCTATGATTTCTTTCTCCTTTTCTTGATTTGCTAGTAGAAGTATGAAGGAAACATATGGATACAATGGGGGTTGAAAGAGTGCCTTTATATAAGAGTATTAAGGGCTAGGTTTTTGCGTGTGTGTGTGTGTGTGTGTGTCTTTGGGCAGTGAGTTTGACTAACAGTAGGTCTATAAATATATAAATTCTTTAATATGCTTTTCTGATCTTTAAGCAACTTAGAGAATAGAGATTAAATTTGCAAATAAGGTTTTGAATTCCATAATGTACAATTCGTGGAAATGTGTCAAACAAAGTCTTTCATCATACAACTTGTGACTATTTAAAATTTAAAGCTGGAAAGGACTAGCTAGCATGAATATTAAATGGGTTGATTTTTTTTTTTTTTTTTCATTAGAATTTTAAATGGAATGGAGAAACAGACTAGTTTTCTTTTTACTTCTTACTGATTTGATTTCTTTTGTTATACTCAACGTGTTTTTTTTTTACTAGCTAGCTTGCAATTGCAAAATGGTTCTTCAAATTATGTAGATCATGGTCTTTGCATAGAGTATATTATGTCTAATTAAATTAATTACACTAACCTTTTTTAAAAGTTTGGATAAATTACACATAAATAGATCGTTCAACGTTTATTATTTTAATGACTTGATGAGTGTAAAATGCCCCTCTTTTCATAGAAGAGGAGCAAGATTTTTATACAAGGGAATGGCAAAATTGTCACTTTATAAAATTGAATAATTATTTAAGGACCGCGAATTTGGTAGTTAGCTAATTTAATTGATTTATGTGAGTGTAGTGGTAGGTCCCACCATATGATATCACCATAACGTCATGCAGGGACAGACCCAGAAAATAAGGTAAAAGGGGTAACTGTCGAATTCGGTCCCTAAATCACTACTCTATAAAATTTGGTCCATAAGTCTGTCGGAAAGAAAACACTAGGGTTATCATTGAGCACAAGCACCAAATCTTAAGGATGGTCAAGGTAATAAACATTAAACGATCTACCCATTTGTAATTTGTCCAAACTTCAGGAGAGGTCGGTGTAATTTACCCAATAAATTATAGAAATTTTATTTTGAATTAGTAACTGAAATGGGGTTTGATCAAAAAGTTAAGTAAACTGCTTCTTTGTTAAGTAAGATTATACTTAGCTAGATAGACTCAAAGTTTAACGTATCAAAATGGACAAATATAAAAGTGCATTGTTTTGATAAGCAAGTCACCAGCATTTTAATAAAAGTGGTAGGCTCAACTTGCAATACAAAAGCCAGAAATGGAGCCACATGGACAATTGGCTATGAAGCTTACGGGCCCTACAATCATGGATTTTAGCAACCATTGACGATACATTGATTCCATGTTATAATATATGTGTATAAGCTCCATCAATACTCGCAATCGTTTGTGTTACGCAGCCTCTAATTAAGTGATTATGAACTTTATTATGCCTTGGATTTCATGTCCTTGGATCAAATTTTGTGGCTAGTTAGATTCCCAAACCATTTATATACAAAAACCACACACACCCATATCAAGATTTAATAAATTTACGTCCACCTCACGGTTACCACCGCCCGTACTGCTGGCAACGCCACCCACTACAGTTGATTGCATTGCGTTTCTTCTGTCCATTACACATTTCGTATACTCTACTTTGTTGTACAATAAAACGGATGACGCAACACCATTAAACCTAGAATACAACATCTCGTTGTGTTGCATTATCGTTACAGAAGCAGCAGAGCGTACCATTCTCAAAATAAATGTGTTGCATTATCGTTTACACCCGTATTGCACAAGACCAACCAATGCACTGTTCGAAGACTTCGATTTTTTTACAACCGACAAGTCAACAACAAATCAGGATCGATTCTTTCCAAGTATAAACAATTCTTTAGGGGCCACGCCCGCAGACATAACACACATTTGAGCAAAAAACACAGCTCTCCGAGGAGAGAAAACTAGCATTTGAGCATTACATTCAACCAGAGATCGGATGATTGTACCAGTGATACAATCTCTTGTTCTGAAAGAGCACGCTGTGAGAGATATCAGATGGCATGACAAATGCCATATTACAATTCTTTCATTCATGCATCAAATTGCCATTTAAAAACAATCCTATAATGGGATTCAATCACCTTAAGCAAACTTTTAATTCCTGTTAAATATGGACAGGTTGAACATCTTCAAAGATTGAAGGCTAGTAAAACACGTAGGATTTCTAGAAAATAAGAAAAAGAAAAGAAATAAGGGAGGGTAAAATATAACCAATTCTTTTATCATAAAATCTTTTTGTGATTTTATTGGTGCTATTGAAATATAGGAAGATCAATCTTGGGTAGTTGGTAGAGGCTTAGATCCTCCCCCGCTGTCAAAATGCTATTTGAAGACCCTTCTCCGACCCCATTCACCATCTTCAAGAAGTAACTGTGCCTGCACAAGAAAACGTTTAGAATCTTTCCTTAAAAATGAAATTTTAGTTTACCAATGGAAAAAAGAATACCATCGGGTGTCTGCAGTTAATTCAGGATGGAAGGCAGTCCCTAACAAATTATTTTGCTTTACCGCCACAATCACTTTCTTCTCAGATCCGGAACTCTCCTGAAGCAAAAATTATATGTACAAAAATATTAAATCAATCTGTTAAGGTATCAAAAATATACCAACATTTACTACTAGTCATTGAAATCACTCGTTTGGGGTCTGTTTAGTAACAAGAATAATCCTTGATTTCTACTGTCAATTCCTAAAATTGAGAATCAAAAGTAAAAATTATGTTTAATAAAATACTTTTACTTTTTAACTTTAAGAAAATATTTTCTAGTTTTGTGAAGAGAAGAGAGTGAGAAATCCTTACTTTCTCTATTTTCTACACTGTTTGCTGAAATTACTTTCTCTACTATAGCATCATTTATCACCAAAAAAAAACTCGTCGCAGCCCATCAAAACCCCTCTTCTGCTCCTTCCCTATTCTGCTCCTCATCCTCAAGCCCTAGCCGACTGCAACCACTGCCACAACCATCAATTTTCACCCCTCCTCCTATCCCTCTCTACCCCATCACCCACCCCTCTTTTCTCTCTGTTTAAAATCAACACAAAGACCTATTCTTCATTGGTTTAATTTATGAAGATGGTGATTTTAGGCTCCGATGACCACGGTTATACAGATTCCGGCAACGAAAGATTCACAATTCCGGTGACAACAACCAACAATTTCGAGGACGGAGATGTTGTGACTATGTAATTCCGGTGGTGGGTTTGGTTTTTTTTCCTTGGATTGGGAATTGGGTTCTTTGTGATTAGGTTGCAGTGGCAGCTAGGGTGTCGATGGTTTGAGTTTTGCAGTAAGCGGTGATGGGTGGTGGTGATGGAGGTTTTGGGTAGAGGTGGTGGTGTTTGCACTTGGCGGTCAGCGACGGTAGCTCTTTGCTACTGAATTTTTTTGTTTTTTTTTTAGGGTTGCAGTGTCTCTGTGTTCTGTTTGGTGCAAATTGGTTTAGGTGTTGGTAATGGAGGTTTTGGGTGGTGGTGGGCAGGGGCTATACTGATAGTGAATTTGGGTTCAATTCTGGTGAGTCACAGAAATGAGAGAGAAGGATTGAAGAAATTTTGTACATGCAAAATCAAAATTATAATTAATCAACTTGCTTTCTAACTTCTTGCTTTGAAAATATTGAAAGCATGAAAAATTAGTGAACATGATTCTACTTCATATTTCAACTTTAGAAATGAAAATTATGATCTTACTTTTGAAGAAAGTAAAAGTAAGAAAGTGAAAGCGTTAGTAAATGGCCCTTTGGTTATTTTATGGTTGTCAAGAGATGCTTTAGTTGCTTCATTCAGAACCAAATTTATTTTTGCTGGCAGAAGAGGGTTAAATCAAAGATCTGATTAACTGAACTTTGTTGCAAGACACTGGTAGATTCCTACAGACCTATTGATTCTTACACCACTAGAAATTTAGCACTTCTAGGCAATCATACCCAATAATAACTTAGTGATATCCACCAGAGGCCCGTCAACATATTTCCACAAACGCTTCAAAATGTGTAATATATACATATTGATCATGGCACATCTTGGTATCCCTATGCCACATGTAGGACACACATTACAGAAACATATCAAAGAAGTATATTATTGAGATTAATTTACTAAAAGTTCTGTAAGTTATTTGGTCTTGTCTTAAATGTGTTTAAGATGATTAAAGAAAATGCACTATAAGGTGCAACCCAGTAGAGGTATACAAGAGAACAGCGCTGATAAATAATTATAAGTAATGCACCCACAAACCAAGTGAAAGAATCTGAGGAAAATGGAAAAAAACCTGGCAGCCAAGAGAACAAAGTGCTCAGCTACACCCCTTTCGACCTAAGAAAGGCAAGCTCCTCTCCTTCATAAGTCATGTAATTTTCTTCCTCCAAGAAAAACACATCAAAAAGGGGATAGTTATTAACCATGATTTCCTATCCATTATCCAAAGCAGTTTCTACTCGAAAAACATTAAAAACACACTACCGCCCTTGGCATAAATCGATAAACCCCAGACAAGGACACAAAAGACTCTACAGCTCCTAAACCACTGAGCAATGAAGGTTAAGATGATTAACACCCTCTTGCTGCTTTACACATGCAACACCAACTGGTAAAGATCTTACCCCTATTCCTTAAATTACTGATAGTCAAGACAGCTTTCAAACTGCAGCCCAACATAGAAATCCCACTTCACAGATGCCTTCGTTTTCCAAATGCCCTTCTAAGTGAAGGAATGAATCCGCTTCCACATAAAACCAAATAAAACTATTTCAGCAAAAAATTCCCACTCTTTAACCACTTTTCCCTCATCACATCCTTCGAACATGTCCTAATAACCATGGCATAAAGCAGCCTCCAAAAGAGACTGCTGGTTTCACCCCCAAATCCTGTAAAACTCTTTGAAATCTGGGAGTCCACACAACTCACCTATCAGTCACACACACCCACACAACCTGCCACTGAAGCCCCTCTACCACTGCAATCCTATACAAATCTCAAACCTCCCTTTCAACACCGAGTCTCCACACCACACATCATCCCAGAATCAAACCATCTAACCATTCTATACTCCCAAGAAAAATATGTTTGGAGAACTTATCAGCACTTCAATATGCCCTTCAATAAACTGACCCTATAATATCCTCTCGCCCCTTTTAAAATCCATCGTCCTCAGGCCTCGCCATACATCCGCAATCACCCTTCTCCATAAACCACCATCATCATGATCATCCTTGTCTTTCATCCATACAAATGGGACTGGCCACGTGAATTCTCTTTTCCCATTCTTTCCTATTATAAGTCATGTCCCCTACAATATTTAATTTTTTTAAGTCATTTTTAAACCTGGATTTCATGTTAGTTTTGATCTGCATCTGTCTCTTTCCTTCTATACAAATTAATCTTCTTTTTGTTACTGGTGCATCAATGGGTCTGCGTTGTATATTCCTTACCACCTAAGCCCGTTTTCTCTTATTTTATCACTAATATGAATCACTCATAATTTTTCTAACACATTTGTCATTAACTCTATCTTTTCTACCTACTCATATCATCCATCTCAACATTCTCATTTCAGCTACATGATTCTTGTTTCTTTTTTAATGCCCAGCATACTGCCATGTATAAGAAAGTTGGTATTATCGTCGTCTTATAGAATATTTCTTTTAACTTATTTGATATCCGTTTAGAATAAAACACCACTAGTGAGAAAATCAACTAAGATGGTTTGGACATGTGCATAGAAGACCTTTAAGTACACTGGTTAGGAAAAGTGGCATAGTCCACATTGAGGGTAATCTAGGGGAAGAGGAAGATCAAAGTTAATGTGGGTGTAGTTAGTAAGGAAAGACATGATAGCATGTGGTTAAACTGAGGCTATGGCCTTAAATAGATTGGAATGGAAACATAGGATTAATGTAGCCAACCCCAGATAATTAGGAAAAGGCTTGGTTGTTGTTGGTACCTTATGCCTTTTCTAAGTTTATGAAAAGGCTCCTCTCAGTTGCAAAACTCCATAACTAGTTCCCATATAAGACATGATGGGCTGATTGGTGTTAAATATTTATAATTTGACATTTCAGTTATCTAACTAAAAATTCAAAAAGTTGTTAAAATTAGTGAAAGCCACTAGCAAGACCTGTTCACAACCTCTAGGTCTAGATCACGGACCTTGCACTAACTCTCTCTATCACATCTTAGTGAATGAGCTCGAATTGAGCTTTCAACAAGCCGAGCCCGAACTGTTTATGAACAGCCCAGTTCATTTGCACACCTAATGGCAGGAGCCTTGTGCACTGGGCTAGCCTTTTTAGTCTAAGAATGAAAGCTATTACTTTCATTGGGTTAAGTTCAGGTCAGATTTAAAGAATGCACCCCTAACCAACCCTGTAACTTAAGTTCAAATCATGTCCTATCAGCAACATCATTTTTCATAAATTGGATTCATTATCAGAACAAGATTTCAACTTCTGCAAGTGCCAAAACATCAACATATATAATGGATTCTAAATTTTAGTCTGCACAATGTTCTTCCTCCTATTCTTGCCACCTATTCGACAACAAAGCCTTGAATCCAAACTTCTTAAAGTTAATTAATACTCCCTCTGTCCCAAAAAGAAAGTCTCTTTTTGGGAACTGTGACTCAGCCCTAGGTGGACCGTGGAGCTAAATGCCAGAAAATAGAACTTCCTCTGTCCCAAAAAGAAAGTCACAGTTCCCAAAAAGTGACTTTCTTTTTGGGACAGAAGGAGTACTATTTTCTGCCGTTCAGCTTCACCTAGGGCCATATCCTAAAGAGAATCATGATACCGCCTCCGTCCCAAAATTCTTGTCCCAAATTGAATAGTTAAATAAAAAGATCATTTACTTCCCAGAATATCCTTAAACTTTTTGAAAACTTACCCCGACTAACACTTACTATGGGTAGTTTTTAAATTTTAAAAGGGGACAATGCATAAAATGCTTGTCCCCTTAAAAAGTTAGAATTTCAAAGAGGGACAACAATTTTGGGATGGAGGGAGTATCATTTTTCATGCCTCGCCCCATGTTCTTTGTGGTCTTTCTCTTGTTCTCGTACGGCCTTCAATCTAAAATAAAACTCCTCTTTACCAAGCGATGCCAACTTAGAGTCCTCAATTTTATACTCCTCAAATAGTTCCATCTTTGATTTCTCTCAAATGCATTTACTTATTAATCATTTCTTGTCTTGCTATTCAATCATCTCAATATCCTCACAGTAGCACTCAACTTTGGTACATGGTAACCCAACATTCTATATTATAAATCATAGCAAGCCTTAGGTTGTTTCAAAAAATATTACCTTTAAACTTGATAGGCATACAGCATTAATGATATCAATATGTAGTCTAGATCACATGGAATCCAAAGGCACTCAGCAATTGATCCATACCTCAAATATTCTATATGCAGATTCTTCTTCAATTAATCCAATCTTATGTGTAAAAATATACTCAAAATTCTTCTTGTATTTTGGAAAACAAATATCTAAGGAAACACATTAAGCAAAAAGTTCTTTTAGACTATTATCTATATCACTAACTTTGGAG